GGGGATATATTTGGTTACTAGCTATAGTTAAAAAAAGTTAAGTATCAGCCTATACATTTCCCACTGCTGGGCAAAGGCCTCCTCTATACAGAGGGTATCAAGGCATAGTCCACCACGCTGCCCCACTGCGGATTGGCGGACTTCACATATCTTCGAAATATATATATATATTTTTGTTATTATTTCGAAAATATGCAGGTTTCCTCACGATATTTTCCTTCAACGACATTTTGCGGATTGCCGGCACCGGGGGTCGAACTCAGGTTTCTCGAGTACATTGAATTAAAGACGAGCGCCCGGATACTGGGCTATCACGGCTCTAAAGAAAAGTAAAAATGTTGAAGCAATTGAGCATTTTGACATTTGTAATTGTTGTAAGTTATCGCTTAGCAGTGGCGGAGTAACCGGGGGGCGGAAGGGGCGGTCCGCGCCTGGGCCAGGGCTCCATGCTCCCAAAACAAAAAATTCTAAACAAGGCTTTAAAAATATGCTTTGTACCTAACTAAGGGGTTGCAGGTTAGAGGCATACAAATATTATTTCTTTCAGATAGAAGACGTATAAATAAAATCATAATTATTTCAGATAAAATACAACCGGAACTGGTAATTTACTATTACTGATAATCAGGGGGTAGCTAACGCTGTGTCAGCCGTATCAATGATACGGGGCCCCCGAGCCCAAGGCCTCTGTAGGCCCCGAATGGTTGAAACCAAAAATTCCACAATAACTTAAATTCTTAAGTCGTACGTCCCGTGAAAAAAATGATAACTTATACAATATCAACCAGGGACTCATTCTTCCACATGAACAATAAATTCATACACGAGTTTTGAGCATGTTTGCGGAGTAATTGCACGTAATCAAATCTTTCTGGCCTAATGTAATGTTAAAATTACTTTAACATCATGTAATCTATCTTTAACAGGGCATTATTGTGCATTATTGTGTATCTGGAAATTTCATGTCCATTTTACGTTTAGCATATTAAGGTCCTATTTAAAAATAATTTCTTTTAAAGCGACAGGTGAAATATGATTTCCGATACCGTACAGACCTGTTGAAAATGTATGATATTAGAAATATCATAATAGATAATTTGGACAAAATGTATACTTTTCTAGCAATAAGATTAAAACGCTGGTCAATATTGAGTAAAGATTCATCTGAAAAATATAAAATTAGTATTATTATTAAATTTATTGTAAAAATATAATTATCACATTTTTTTTCTTCACTATTAGAAATCATCAATTCTACAGCTCTACAGCATGGAAATAATGACTTAGAGAAACTTAATATTTTATTATGTTGGGGAAAAACTCTTTTCGCAAATAGTACGTACGTACTTATAATATAATCTCTTTGGCTATATCATTTGTATCTGGTTGATTTTGGTTTTGGCATTAAAAAATTTAAATTAAAAAAAATCCAAATTCAAATTAAGAAAATGTGTGATTTTCATTTGTTTTTCTTACAGCTAAGATGAGTGATTCTAATGAAGAAATTCGATACATTTTAAAATTTTACTACTAAAAAGGTAAAAATGCAACGCAAGCCGCGAAAAAAATTTGTGATATTTATGGACCTAGTGTAGTAGACCAGTATCTGTGAGAGTAGCACAAATTTGGTTTTAGCGTTTTCAATCCGGAAATTTTGATGTCAAAGATGCACCTCGCTCAGGGCGGCCTGTTACGCGTATCAGCAAGATCGCCATATCAGTAGTTTCGATGTAGCTGAAGAACTGGGAATTGACCACAAAACAGTTTTGGCGCATTTGATAAAAGCTGGGTACACAAAAAAGCTCGATATTTGGGTGCCTCATGAGCTCTCTGACAGAAACCTAATGAACCGTGTACTCATTTGTGATTCTTTATTACGACGTAATCAAACCGAACCATTTTTGAAAAACCTGATAACTGGTGATAAAAAGTGGATTACGTACGACAAGAACGTGCAAAAAAGGTCGTGGTCAAAGGCTGGTCAGACTTCACAGACCCGGGTTATTTCGCAACAAGGTGATGCTGTGTGTATGGTGAGATTAGAAGGGCATTATTCATTATGAGCTGTTACCGCCAGGTAGGACCATTGATTCTGAACTCTACTGCGAACAACTGATGAGATTAAAGCAAGAAGTTGAGAGAAAGCGGCCGAAATTAATCAACAGAATGGGTGTGGTTTTTCATCATGATAACGCTAGACCTCACAAATCTTTAGCCACTCAGCAAAAGTTAAGAGATTGGCTGGGAGTTGTTAATGCATCCGCTGTATAGTCCTGACCTTGTACCTTCAGATATCCACTTGTTTCGGTCTCTTCAGAATTCTTTAGGCAGAGTCAGGTTAACATTAACATTTAGATCAGTAGCCCCAGAATTTCTATAGCAATGGGATCATGTCCCTACCTACAAGATAACACAATGTTATCGAACAAAATGGCACCTACATACTTTAGATAAATGTAAATAAACTTTATTAAAAAATGTTTTGAATTTTCATATAAAATGCGAAAAATTTTTCCCCAACCTATTACTATGCATTCTTTTCACGAAATAATAAAAAAGATGTAGAAAAACACAACTGTCTGCTAAAAGTCACGAATAGAACTAATTGCTTAGAAAACATGTTTCTGAATCCCTGAAAAGGTTTAAATTCATTCCATTATGGAACTCATGAAATTATTTCGGATAAAATTCAATAGCCTTGCTTCGTTTTCCATTTATTTACCAAACAAGGACGCATACAATAAAAAAGATAATTAACAAAAATAAAAGAAATAAAAAAAATACTTATAAATAATTCAGTAAAGCAAAAGAACACAAATACATAATTAAAATATAAAACAAATAAAAAAGAAGTTTAACAGACCAAAAATACTGTACGCCCTATTACGGTAAATTAGGTTAGCAGCTCAGCATTATGCTATGCCGGAAGTCAAGGCCCCAACACAGCGCTGATTTTCAGTGCTAACCTAGAGAAGCTAGAAAGCTCGTAATACTTCGATGCCTTACTGACCCATACACAGCGAAGTAATACTAAAACCAATTATTGTTTAACTTAAAAATTAATAAAAATTTTAAATAAATTCTAAAACCAATTATTGTTTAACTTAAAAATTAATAAAAATTTTAAAACGTCCTTACAACACAGGATAATGTTATCCTAAAGTGAGGGCAATGATTTAAAAAAAAATTTAAAAAAAAATCTATTTTATATTATCGAATAGAAATTATGTACAGTTCTATTATTAAAATATAATACGATGTATATATAAAGATACAAAAACAGTAAAAATAATCTTATCCTTTAAACGAGCAATTCTTGTATATATATAGATGCGTAGATTCGGGGGCGAAAAATCAAGGTTTCATTTTAAGAAAATGTCCTTTTATCCCTGTTTTCAGGAATTGAAAAATATCATTCGAATATGACGGTAATTTTCGCCGAAAAAATAAATGTTATAATAGCTCGGTCGGTAATCGGGCGGCCCTGAAACAGAAGGCCGTGGTTCGTGTCACGATCATTTATTTTTGTACTTTTTTTTCGATTCCAGATCATTGCTTTCTTTATTTTTATTTTTTGTCTATCCAGATGATTTTGTTCATTTTTTTTAAAGTTCTTTCTTTTGTGAAAAACACCAGTTCATATTTTCTTACTATTACGTCGGTAAGATCGAAAAATATTATGCATATTTCATTACTCAGTAATTTGTATCTAAATGTAATTTCCTAAATACACGATTTACCAAAAAAAAAACAAACCGAGCAAAGCTCGGTCCTATATATGGAGGATAATACAAGCTATCGATTACTTATTAAATATTACGTTCCATTATCATACATAAAGAAGGTATGTATGTATCTTTATTAAGCAACATGATTTCTATTTTTAACCCTTCTGGTTGCAAATGCAACAGATAAAAATTAAATTTTCGTAAATAAAACTGATAAAAATTATCTTACGATTTCTATTGGACAGGAACGGATAAAAGATGTAACTATTTTATACAGCGGCAAATTAAATCGACAAAAAGTGAAGAATCGTCTTCGCTATGGACGATTTAACAAATACATTTTGAAAAAATATGGGGAGAATTGTGTACATAAGTTCCATACAATTTCGGCCGATACATTTTGATTTGAGAGCCCGTCTAAGGCAATCTACGCCACTACTGCTAATCTTTATTATGTCTACATAAGTTTAGTTCCAGAAACTTACCTACTGGAAATTAAAACTACCCACCTATTACTTTAGTTATTTTTATTATTATTTTTTTTTTTTGCAGATCGATTTGAATTTTATTTTCCTCGTCCATCTTTGTATTCTGAGTATATTTATTTAAGTCTAATTTAAATTTCACTTACAAGATTTTAACTAAATAGACATAAACACATATAAGTATACAAATGTGAAGTGAATAAAAAGCTTGTTTAATTAGATCAATTCCTCCAACAATTAGGGGCCTCATCCAGCTTTACCGCCCCGGGCCTCTGAAGGCCTTAGTCCGCCTCTGTCGCTGAGAAGCAAAATTTGTCGAAAGAAGAGCCAAAATGTACTAGGAAAGGAACTTCGTACAAACTGAATGTTCCACGACACTCACACATTTATTTTTTAGTTTTAAATGTGAATATGACAGAACAGTGAACTCAACAACTTATCTACATAAGCCGCCTGCAGTTTATAGGTACCTGTAATTAAAGTTTTATTGATTTGTTTATAGCAACATAAGTACATCCATTCGTCTCCCGTTAAATCCATATAATTATTTAAGGCCAAAAATAAATTCCTTGTGAATTCACTTCACGCCGTTCTCATGTGAGATCGTGATACTGCGTGGCCACCACAGAAAAAATAAATAGTAATTTATATAAATTCGTGGCCAAAACACAGTGCATGAACGTCACGTTATATTTCGTATCCGTACACACAGTCATTACTCACAGCTCTCCTGAAAGGCGTTAGCATGTTTTTCATGTTATTGTTTTTCTTATCCAGATACCTTCTAATGTTCGATGTGTACGCATTCGAGCCCCCCGTACGGTTCGAAACGCGTAAGCGCAAAATCGTTTGGAGCCCTTGCCCTGGCAAAATCATTCGGCCACGCGGAAGGAGATATCCGTAACTAAACTCAATCGAACTTTAACGTGGCCTATTAATATCATTTAAACAATACGCGAAAACAATTAAACGATACTTCCATTCATATGTTTAAGTTTAAATGGAAATTGGAGAAGAGAGCGACATGATCGCTAATTCTTCTTTTGAGTCCGCCGTCATCCAATACATGAATCAGTATTGCGATAACAGGAGCCGAGTCAAAGTCAAAGTATAACAGCTATTAACGTTATTATATAGTAATCATTATAAAATAACGATAACATAACATCACTTTCATTTTCGTATAATGTGAATAACCGTAGATATTTAATAATGTCGGGTAGTTTATAAGTGGCAACTTAAAGTGGTCAACCCTATTTAAAATGGTTCCTCATTAAATTTGGCCGAAAGTTGAAGTCATAGAAGACACCTAATGAAAAACGCAAATTCTTACACATAAATATACACGTCCAAAATCAAATGTATTACATTTTACTCCTTAAAATATCCATTACTATTGATGTATTAGAGAACCTATACTAACAAAATAATTATAATAAAAATATTTAACTCTTAATGAAGTAAAACAGCTTACATACATATATTATGTATTGAATGAAAACAAAAAAAAATACCTAATTTAAGATTTTCAATACTCTAGAAATATTAAAAAATAATTAAATTATACTATTTATTATCCAAATACTAGAGGTATCTCGACGACGACTTAAGTAGTTATTATCCCATTCCAATTCGAAAATTATTCACAGCAAATTTACTGAATTTTATTAAAAAATACTAAATTAACATTCTAAAAAAGCTTTAATAACTTTTAAATAAAAGAGATCATAAAAATAACCTCGTCGTTTGTGTCCAAAACAATAAATCAATATATTCTTCTAGTACGTATTATATATTTTCCTTGACGTACAAAATATAGAACTGTTAAAAAAAACAAAGAATATTAAAACATATCGCATTGCAGTCAACTACTTACGTAAGTTATACAAATGTGGCTCACCAAAAACTTCACCGAAAAAATCCAATTAAAACGAATTTAAATAATACACAACTTAATAATGAAAACAACAAATACTAAATTGCATGTTAAACAAAATTACAAAAAGGAAACAAGGAGCGTCACAGAGATTTTAAAAAAGGAACACAATCGTGGAAATTCGCAAACTTATTGCACAATGTCGTAAGATCGCGTGGGATTCGGCGAGGAGCTGACGCGTGCGGCCTCCAGCCGAGTTGGGCACGAACTAAAGTCGCAGGGTCGGCGTCGGACGCCCGTACCCTACTGGGGAAGGGAAGTGGGGACTGGACAGGGTAGTGTAGTGGGTCCTGTCCTGGGGTGCTCGCAGGGGGCGGGGGTGTCTCAATGGGGCGACTCGCCGCTTCTCTTCCACTACGGTCGCGTACGATCGCGTCGCGACGCCCTTAATAGCAACTGATTACTTCCTAATTGGAATAACTAACCCACATCGAATGTTATACTTGCACTCAGCACACTACTCATTTGTATTGTAATTGAAAATCGATTTTCACCTTGTATTTATAAATGATATTTGATGACAGCATCTTTGCTGGACATAAAAGCTAAATGATGGATAAGAATAAACTGCATCATAATGAATACCGGATTCAGTGATAGCTATAGTAGATGCTTAATCCGAAGAATAAATCGCTAATAGATTACTATCTATTAACCGCTTTTTATTTATTATTAGTACCGCTTCTATGTAACATAAAGTATGTATGACTGGTGCTGCCTATCTCCAAAGATGTTGAGGTGATTTGCCCATGTCACCGCCCGAATATTCGCTGAGCCACTCGGGTGGTAGAGCACATTCAATAACTGGAGCCACAGATTGTGCTGGGTAAATCCTCGCGCACACAGCGGAGTTTGTTAGCCATCCATGGGAGAAGGGCCGAAGGAATTATCTGCGCTTTATCGCCGTCTTAGAGGGCCGGCCTAGCACGGAGCCCATCCAGGGGTCACGGCGCCCTCACCTACTGCATTTCCACCTCCTCTAGAGACACGATTATTACGGATCGTATAGGTTTCATGAGGTCAAAAATCTCAGAGAAAGGTACTACTGAGTGACAAAACTCTATCGTCTCTTAGTCCACAACCGCATACCAGAAAATCTGATATAGTATTAAAACACTGCGGGAATCAAACCCACTTCTTCCGGATCAGGAAGATGTGATTTTAATTCCCACAGTGAAAACTTTTCATCCATTTTTTCTACAAATCTTAATGTTCCATCTTAAGTGCGGAGGTTAAAAATTGGGATGAAAAAATTTTAATTTCATATAGTATTTTTCTGTTCATAAAACAGATACCGACTAAGTAATTTTTAATAAATCTCGGGCAAGAGAGCATTCACATGGAAATTTTACAAAGTCAGAAGTTAGAGGTGGATTATCGCAAAAATAATAAACGATAAAGAAAGTTGCGGATTTCCCAGGTGCCGGCTCCAGGCAAGCTGGAGGATGAAATAATTCAGCATGTTCAAATAAAGCACGTTACAATCATAATATTGGACAGTCAAAATAGTGAACTCTGATAAGTCAGAACCTATTTACGACATGTAAAAGCAACATACGTTGGGACAAAATCGTAGTGCTGATGTGTTTTACACACATGTCACAATTTGTGTTTGTATGCCAGGTAACTGAGGTAAAACCATAACTGTGTCTCTTTGTCAATGGTCAAATATGTACATAGATTTAGAAGAAACTTAGATCCTAAACATATGGTCAAATATTTTATAATGCTAATCGTTAACTATTTCAATACCATTTGTAAGGAGCCATACCAATTGTAGCTGTCAAACATCCCTTAAAAATTCACACGAGACAAAACATACAATAATACCTAATACTAAAACTTTTCACTCAAGTATATCTATCGCACTTGGGAGTCGCAACACAAGGCATTTTTCTCTGGCACACATGCTCAAATCTCAGACATATTACACCGAGTAACGCGTTTGTGTGCTTAATATTGTGTTTAAGTTCCTCACATAATTAGTCGCTATTGTTTAAGACAACTCCGTCTCAACTTTTTTATTGGTCTAAGGACGAAAAATGTACATTTTTGTAATATTCTAGATTAAAGTGGTTTGAGGAGTAGCGTGTGTCTGTGTTTCACACACACTACGCCGTATACCATGATAGTAGAACCTATACCTTTCCTTTATATGTAATAAAGGAAGTAATCTGAAATAGCGATTTTCGATTGATCGAAACTATCTCTTCACGAAAATTAATTTAATTCACGAAAATAAATTAAAAGAAAACAATAACTATGTAGTAAGATAACAATATCAACTCGATGTGAGCGATTTAAAACGACCTGGCTCACGAGGGCATCGAGTTTAGGCTACGAATCGGGGACCTCCCATTCACCGGTGATCTATTATCCTGCTAGATAAATCCGCGGTGGCGCTGTGTCCATCATTGACCCGATCGAGCCTCTATTGCCGCCTCCGTGTGGCGACGCGTTGTCGGCCAATGTTAGGGTTAGGAGGAGATTGAAATTGTTTAACAATCAAATTGTCGAAATTATTTATAGGAAAACATCTTTTTGGATGCATGTCTGTGAGGGTACGGAATAGTATACCGAAGGCGTACGGCGGCGACGGTTGAACGTCCGGACTTGTATGGGCTTGTATATGAAGTTTCTTATAGATTCGTCAAAACAAGGTAGGTAATAATTTTAATGTTGCGATACGGAATAATGCGGTTGTTTGATAAAAACAACGGTTCACACATGAAACGATGTCAAGTTGTTTGATGGGAATATGTACGAAACATTGTGTCATTGTGGAAGACTCCGTGCTAAACAAAACATTTAAGCTTCTTCGTCTTATTGCTTACAGTGTTAATGTTGTTTGTGTGTTAACTGATTGCTCAGTTTGATAATATTGTTGTAATTAAACTACAAAACACAACCCTTGTAAGTTTGGGCCTACGTACTCACCGTCTATAACCAGCTCTGCGCCTGAACTTGTGCATCCCGGGACGGTTCAGTCGGTTGGTATTTGATTAGCTAGTACACTTTAGGAATCTTGCTTTGGAAATTTCTTGCTTATTTTTTAGCTTTTCTAATAATATCACGCACGGTTGTTAAACTAAACGTATTTGCATTACTTTCTTGACATAGATGATACATATGTTTCTCGATTAACCGCATCGCTGAAGTGCGCACGTAAAAGGTCAAAGCATGGCGATTTGGCGGGAATTTTATATTCTTAGACCCAAAGCCCTCGAGCCTCCAGCATAAAACTTTAATACTATTTACATTTTTCAAGATAGATAAGAAAGATGTTTTGCCGCAATAAAAATGGAAATAAATAAATTATCTGTAAATGTGATTAATTAAGCAGTTTAGTTTTCTGATGAATTTTTTTGTTTTTTCTTTCATCCGCACCAATACCAATGTACATACATTTATAAATACAAAAAGTGTACTACAGACGCAAAATGTATAGGTTGTGGTGAAAACTTTATTGGCCAGCATTTCTATGTGTAATTGTACAAATCTGTGTAAGTGCTGTATGTTCTCCAAACCAATAAAATAAAATAAACACTTTTATTACATATCGATGACTCCGTGACGCAGTGGGCAAGGTTTTAGCTTTGGCGTCAGGGGACGTGAGTTCGATTTCAACACGATACAACTATTTGTTTGGCCCACAGATAGTTGTTTCGCATCTGGGTGTTTGTCCGCATGAAATTTATATTTGTAGAACGTCCTTACAATACAGGATAAAGTTATCCTAAAGTAAGGGCAATGTTTTTAAGCTTTTAAAGGGGTGTATGGGGTGTGGAGATACCATCTTTACCAACCCAAACGTCAACCTCACCTGCCCGTGGTGCACCCTGCTGATTGACAAACGAGGCTCTGGCGACCGAACGTTCTGGCGGTAAAACCAGACATCTCTACCTGCGTACAGGTGGAAATACCTGCGCACGAATGTAACACCTAATATTCGAGGATTTTCCTATCTCGAACGAGAAGGTTTTTGTACATCAGATGGCAATCGGTACTGGACTAATAAATCCAAAAATCGCCAAATCGATGTCGAGGTGAAACTGAAATGAGAAGGTTACATAATGCAGCGAGTATAAGTGTTAGGGCGTCACCGCAAAATGACGCGCAGACATACCGCCCTACATCTGCGAAAAATATGCGAGGGCTACCGAGTTACGGACGGACTCGGCTAAAGACGTTAGTCCAAAATTGTAACCTAAAGGTTCGCTTCGCTACTCTTAATGTAGGAACACTAACAGGAAAGACAAAGGAGCTTGCCAATCTATTTAAACGTAGAAGGTTAGATTTCATCTGCCTGCAAGAAACTCGCTGGACTGGGGCTAAATCCCGTAACATCGGAGAGGGCTATAAACTTATGTACGTAGGTGCTAAGCATGGAAGAAATGGCGTGGGAATAGCTGTTAAAGAAGAATACCTTAGTAACGTCTTAGAGGTAAATCGTATAAACGACAGACTAATGTCTTTAAAAGTACTGGTCGAAGGAGAGGTTCTCAATATTATATCCGCCTATGCTCCCCAAGTAGGTTGTAGCCAACAAGAGAAGGATAACTTTTGGACAACTCTAGAAGGTACACTCCAACATGTACCTACAAAAGATACCATCTTATTAGGCGGTGATCTAAATGGCCACATTGGAGAAGCAAATAACGCTTTTAATAGAGTGCACGGAGGTAACGCATATGGCACTCTGAACGATGCTGGCAAGGTTATTCTCGAAACAGCGACAGCTTTCGATCTTGCCATTGTAAACTCATTCTTTACTAAGAATGCAGAACATAAAATCACGTACAAAAGTGGTCAAACCCTATCACAGATAGATTATATCTTAACAAATCGAGCTCACATTGGCCGAGTAACTAATTGTAAGGTGATTCCGGGAGAATGCGTTACACCCCAGCACCGCATAGTTGTAATGGACATGAAGTTTAGGAAAGCAATTAAGGAAAAACCAGCTCAAATGCCAGAACTTACCAAGTGGTGGAACTTAAAAGGTTACCGAGTTCTGTGGACATCTCGCCAACCTTGAATTGAATGAAAATTTAGACGTTGACACCATGTGGGAGCAATTGCGAAACTCCATTATAACTGCGGCAAATAAGACTCTCGGTCGTACAAAAGGAGGGAGAAGAAATAACAAAGAAACGTGGTGGTGGACCAAGGAAGTGCAAAGTGCAGTTCAGAAAAAGAAACTAGCTTTTAAGACCTGGCAGTTCACCCAAACACCTGAAGATCGAGAAATATACAGGAAAATTAAAAAAGACACTAAAAAAGTCATAGCTGTCGAACAAGCAAACTCCGAAAAAAACCTATACAGGCGGCAGTTAGATAGTAAAGAAGGCCAAAAACAGATTTACAAGCTCGCAAAACAGCGTTGTAGGAGCACACGAGATCCTGCTGGGTGTAAAACTATCAAGGGCCCAAATGGCGACTTAATGTACAGAGATACAGATGTGATATTGGTGTGGCATCGATATTATGAACAGTTACTGAACCCTATGCCAGCTAATACACTGCTTTCAGAATTAAACGCAATGAGGGCCTTGTACCTCCGATACAACCAAATGAAGTAAAAATAGCTCTTCAAAAGATGTCCAATAAGAAAGCCATAGGACCTGATGGTATCCCAGCCGAAGCTTGGAAATGCTTACGCGGTCAAGGAATCGCACTGCTAACCACACTCTTTAACTGTGCGTTGTTCTCCTCTAAAATGCCTAAAGCATGGAGGATGAGCACGATAGTTCCGATTTACAAGGGTAAAGGTAGCAAGTACGAGTGCAATAACTATCGCGGAATCAAGCTTCTCAGTCACACTATGAAGCTGTATGAAAGAGTGATTGACAGCCGCTTAAGATCTGAGTGTTCGTTGTCCAAAAATCACTATGGCTTCGTACCTGGCTTATCAACCACCGATCCCATGTTTGCACTGACCACAATAGCTGAGGAACATCGCTCCAAAAACCATCCACTGTATCTTGCGTTCCTGGACATGGAAAAGGCATTTGATCGGGTGCCAAGAAGTACTATTTGGTGGAGTCTTCGTAAGAAGAATGTCCCCGAAAAATATGTTAACATCATCGCCGACATGTATAAGGATGCAAGATCGGTTGTACGAACGGTAGTGGGTCAAACGAAACCTATAACGGTCACAGAAGGAGTTCACCAAGGCTCAGTACTCAGTCCGTTTTTGTTTTGCTTGGTTCTGGACTCACTCACCGAGGCAGCGCAAAATTCAGCATTGTGGACGTTCATATACGCTGACGATGTAGCTATCTGCACTGAGAGCCGTGTTGACTTACAAGAGGCCCTTGTCGCATGGAAACTCCAGTTACAGAGCGGTGGCCTTGTGTTGAGTGTTGCAAAGACTCAGTTTATGGCCCTGAACGAACCAAATCCTTGTGACGATAGCCCGATTACCATCGATGGGCAGTTGGTTACCATGTGCGATCATTATAAATATCTGGGTACGATGATGCACAATTCTGGGAATTTGGAATACAACATTCAACACCGACTAGCCGCTGCATGGCTGAAATGGCGCGAAGTGACTGGCGTTACATGTGACAAAAGAATGCCGGTTAAACTCAAGGGCTTGATTTACAAGACCATCATAAGGCCAGTTCTAATGTACGGCAGTGAGACGTGGGCCGTAACCCGAAAACATGTCCGTGCCATTCAAGTAGCTGAAATGAATTGCTGAGGTGGATGTGCGGCGTTACCAGGCTAGATAAAATCCGTAACGAGTACGTACGAGGAAGCCTAGGGGTACGCGACATCGCCGATAAGATGCAAGAGAGTAGGCTGCGGTGGTACGGGCATGTAAAGAGGAGGCCACCAAACTACGTGGGAAACTTAACACTGCAACTTTCTGTGCCTGGAAAAAGGTCCAGAGGTAGGCCCAAAAAAAGATGGAAAGATGTAGTGCTAAGGGACATGGTAGAATGTCAAGTGTCCGAGGAACATGTCGACGATAGAGCGAAGTGGAGAGAAAAAATAAGGAAAGCTGACCCCACCACCATGTGGGATATATAGCTTGGAAGAGAGAGAAGGGCAATATTTTTAAACAAACAATTTAGTACCGATATAGCAAGATGCTATACCATTGGTCACGCGTATACAATTTTGTATAAAATCTATCCTCATTTGGCTAATAAAAGGAGTCTTAGTAGTTGTCACAATATTATAAAGGTGCTTCGTGAGGTACCACCCTATGCTTTCGCCTCTATGTTAATTTATGATTGATAAATGTAGCCAGGCGATGATGATTTTCTTTGTTTATTCTAAATAACTTTAATAATAAAAGAAAAAATATGCATATATATTTTCATAACCATTATAATTAAATACATAATTATTATAAGTAATAACTGTATAATTTAATTTTTATGCTATATTTCTTTTCCTTAAATAATAATCCGGTTGTAATAATAAATTTTAAAATGCATAATTAATTGTTTATTTTAAATAATAATATTTAAGAATCTTATACACTATCATAACACCAAATATTTTTAAGTAAGACTAAGACAGAAGAACGAAACGTTTTTGCATTGGTATCTGTGACAATAAAAACTTCGTTTGAGTTTTTGAGTTTTCCCATCTTTAGCCGCTGTATTTGCTATTTGGTTTTATACTATTATTCTATTCTGTAACAAATAGCATGTTTCTTAAAATATTAATTTAATGTAAACTCTTGATTTTATTAGATCAAGGTGGTAAGTTTGTCGTTTTCTCTGTAACTTGAATCCTGACATTACAGATATTATTTCTGTGTGTAAAAAAAATAGTGTGTAAGTAAACCTTTTAAATTATATGTGCATATTTAAAATGTTTATTAAAACATTTAAATGTCAAAATTGCTTTCTCTTGTTTATACCACATTGATTTTTATTTCAGGTTATTATCGTTATCGACCTGTCAAGGAGACATTTTTCACTAAACTGTCTCTGCAAATTTACAAAATAGGAGACGAAAACACTTTTAAGTTCTCCAATTTTATATCGAATCTGCCACCAATTGTAAGTAGCTTCTAATTTGTTACAAAAAATTTGAGAACTAGTTTCCATACTAAATGTTTTACTTTTTAAGATATAGATCAAGTATTTTTGTTTGTGAATAAGATCGACGTCTATTCAGAGTGGGAGTCTAGTCTGTTTGAACCTAGAATTTGCGTTTGACAAACTGACATTTAAATTATTTAAATATTACCGGACAACCTTTCAGTATATATGTCCCTATCCCATCCTTTCCATATATATACCCTTTCAGTATATATGTCTTATCTATGCCTGATAGTTAATTCAAATGTTTTGCTGAGGAATGTCTTGCCACAACATACCAAATATTACCTCGTATGTTAATTTGATGATAGTAATTATAAGAACTGTTTATTTACTGTCTGCTACAAAGATTTTTATGAAAATCAACACCATTATGGCAGCCCAATTTTCAAAAGATTGTCTACTTATCTGTAACCCATGGGTGTAGCAGATGTCCATGGGCGATGGTATTCACTTAACATCAGGGGAACCGCCTGCTCTCTTTTCAACTTTTCACATAAAAATAAAAAAAATACATTACGAACCGTGATAGATAACAATATACTCAAGCAACTTGAGTTTGGTCCCCGGTGCTGGCACCAATGAAATTGTTAATTTTAAGTGCTGACTTATCACATGCTAAGTGGTGAAGGAATACATTGTGATAAACCTATATATTTTCCATGATAATAATGACAAAAACAAAAACAATATTTCTTAATTTATGTAGGTTGCAATCTCTAAATTTAATAATTTGTAGTTTGTTGTTTTATTTGGACAGGGTGGTAGAGCGATGCCTCGTTGCAGCAAACGTACGCGCAACAGCGCACCTACCAGTGAAGTACTTCCTGGAGCCACAGCCATAGAAGAACACCATCACCACAAAAGATCCAGAAATAGCAGGTGAATAACTGCTAGCTAAAATTAAATGCCTATTAATCCAAAACAAAGAACATTTTAATCCAATATAACCAAATTGCTAGTCATTGTATTATTTATTGTCTAAACAAAGGTTTGATTACGGCCATAAAATCTAGTTCCAGTCGCAATTTTTGTGAAAGTTCCAGCAGGCAATTCACCTAATGGTAAACAATTACTGCTGCCAATAGACATCTGCAATATCTATTGGATTGTAGATGTGTGTTGTTCCCATGTACCTAACTCACCAGAAAAAATGTGAAAGTACAATACTTTCATGATACTTCCCCAAACAAGTTTGTTCATTAGTGCAGAAGTCTCATCTGAGAAAGGTTAACATCTCATGACCTTATATTAATTTTGTTAATTGATACACAATTTTATAAATATTAATTTATGTGAGTTGACAGTTATTAAGATTCCACTATGTAGGATACATAGTGGTATCTTAAAAACATAGAAAAAAATGAAATACTGGAGTTGTATAAAAATATAAATTTTAGTGGACAATCAAATTTAAATTTATGAGTTTACATATCAGTCCTATTTTATTTATGCAGCCATGACACTGCTCAAGACAGTTGCTCAAGTTCTGACCCTAACTATCATATTATCATGTACTTTATTCATTGTTTCTAAGCTTGAATGTACAAATTAACAAAGTAAAATTGTAGAAAGTATGTATTATTAAAACAATTATTTTATTGCATAGCTACATTAGTCATACTGTTTAATACAAATATGAAAATTGATTTCATTATTGTATGACCTTCAAACTATTCTTTCATAGAATATAAAATATCTTATATGATATTATTATCTTATAAAAAGCAAAGTTCTTCAAAATAAATGCAGCTTACTCATTCTATTTATTCCCATTTCAAGAAGACATTCCAAAACAGAAGACACCAGCTTCAGTGTAAAAAAATGTTTAGCATGGTTTAAAGAATACACAACACCATCAGAGCCAGATGTATTAGGTAAGCATAGTTACTATAGTTAAAACAATAGATCATATTTTAATGGATGATTTATACTTTGAATTATACAGCATGGCAATGAATGAAAACACTTACAATACAATTACAACCGCAACAATAAATGAACACACCTATAACACTTCCAATAATCATAAAAAATATAAATGTTAAAAAATCCATAATTAAAATGAAAATATTTTCAAACATACTAATTTAATAAGAAAGAAACAAAATTTGTAACATCCTCCTATACAACTATAACTCACTGATTCATACATTCAGAGACTTTTTCATTCGTCGCCACAATTTCGCATTACAGTTCTTTCTGTTACAGTTACAGTATGTTTTATATCTTTTAAATTCATTCAACTTATTCATAATTATGCTTTGTGACCATGTCATTTGTAAAAGAAATGAACTTACGTTACAGTTTTATACGTAACGGTGTTCTAAAATTGTTTTGGAAAATTTAAAACTCATAAAATGCTTAATACAATTTTAAAACATTATCCTCTATATGTGTGTTGATTTATGGTCGCGTTAGTAGTGCCACTCTGCATAAAACATACCAAATACAAATAAAATTGTTTTATCTTGATGATGTATGTTCATAAATTAAACCTGATGTACTGTTTCCCATTAAGGTCCAGAAGGTATGGAAAAATTCTGTGAGGATATAGGAGTAGACCCAGAAAATGTTGTGATGCTGGTCATTGCTTACAAAATGGGTGCCAAACAAATGGGTTACTTTACACAAGAGGAATGGTTGAAAGGTAATTTAGTTATATTTTGTAATATAAAATGTACTAAATAATATTTATGATTCTGTTCTAGTTCCGATTCTATATTCCCATATTTTCTGTATTAAGTATAATATTTAACCCAATTGTTAGGTTGCTTTAATTCAAGAGGCAATACAAACTATAATTATTATGTAATTATTAGATAGATATCAGATTATATGCACTATAAAAATGCCAAAATATGCATGCAAATATGCTTTGCATAAAGCAAATTGAATTGCAATGGCTTCTGAACTGTCAATATCACCAACAAATTATTTATGGCCTTAAAATTCTCAGCCTAAAATAATACACCTTTCAACCAAGTTCCCCAACGCATTAATATTGATTCTGGAGGTAGTCCTAGGTTTGGCAGTTGCTCTTATATGCTTACTCGCGATGGTGCTTTTAAAAATACTTCCTTTGCAGAGGATATTAATTAATTGGCATTCCCGAACTCTTTCTTGATCACTTCCGCAATTCGGTGTAATCCGTAGGCTAGACAGGTGATGTTAAGCAAGTTTAGGTAAAAAAATTTAGTGTTCCAGCATAATACAATACGCCTGACACATTTCACTTCTGAAATAAGCACTATTAATAAAAATATAATGTGTTTTAGGCATTTGCATATGCGAACGTGCGAGTGCATATAATCTAGTAACTAATTATATATATTATATTACTTAAATATCCATGAAGTTACCGTGTCTGTGTCCCATTTGTGCAATAGTCTTTGGTGTTGCGCAAATGGTCAAGTGAAGTAAGTGTGATACTTCTGCATATCGAGTGAGGTTGCAGGGGTCCCACTTTATTAAAAGGTTGCAACACATCTGCAACCCTACAAGTGTTGCAACTGTCACCGTGTGGTGGTTATCAATTAACATCAGCTGAATTGCCAGCTTGTTTGTCACTTTGAAACATAAATAAAATTATTTAAAGTAATAGCCTATTCAATAGTGTTCTATTGCTGGGCAAGAGTCTCCTGGGCATAATCCACCGCATTCCCACTATGCAATGGCGGATATGTTAGAAATAGATGTATTGTAACTACCTTTAAAAGAGAAATTCAAATCCAAAAATGAATGTCATACATCAACAAATCTTAATGAAATTAATATCAGTGGTGTAGAATATTTTAATAACAAGGATTGTTGTCTTAATTTGTTGATTGAAGTAAGATTGTAGTTTGTCGGCGTCGGGACGTGACGACCCCATCGCCCGCTGGTGGGATAATCTTGTGACAGAGATTATTCCACCAGTGCAGTCAGTCAACCCAACTAGTGGTAGTGCCATGCTGCGCACCTTCGGGTAGCAGCCGAATTGGGCCGGCACGCCCGGGGAAGAACCACTCTCTCACTAGAAACCGACGTCAAGTGGCAGCTATGCTGTCGCGTTTCGTTTGGTCTGTGAGAGTCCCGGACGCCCTCTCCCCATTCCTCCCCCATAATGTCTGCGCGAAATTTAAATTTTCTACCCCAGGAGGGTACCACCAGCATACAGCGCGGTGGAGAATCCCTCTCTGGACATCCACGCGCAGGCCGTACAACGTCTGAACGTGAATGCCCAGGCTGCCCTTCGTATTCTGGGGGGGGCAATTTTGGGCTAAATTCCAACTTAAACGCCGTCCACTTCCATCTTGAGACGGCGAAGCCGGCCTTGCTCTTCCTTACCGAGACGCAGATATCTTCTCCAGCTGACACCTCATTCCTCTCCTACCCGGGGTACAAACTGGAACATTCCTTTGTGCCGCGGGCTGGGGTGTGCGTGTACGTCAGAGAGGATATATGCTCTCGTCGCCTCGATGCTCTTGAAGGACGGGACCTATCCATACTCTGGCTACGCGTAGACTGCGACGACCATCCGCGAATCTACGCGTGTCTGTATAGGTCCCATAGCGGTAATGCCGAAACTGACCGACTCTTTGAGCACATACAAATGGCTACAGATTCCGTGTTGCAGCAGATCCCATCCGCGGAGATTGTAATTCTCGGCGACTTTAACGCTCATCACGCCGAGTGGCTTAGATCTCGTACCACCGACCACGCGGGGAGATCTGCTCACGATTTCGCATTGACATATGATCTGACACAACTGGTTACCTCGCCAACGCGAATCCCAGATGTGGAGGATCATACACCTTCCCTGTTGGACCTTCTGTTGACCTCTCATCCGGACGGATACTTGGTGTCCGTCGATCCTCCCCTCGGCTCGTCGGACCACTGTCTTGTCCGAAGCACAGTGCCAATAACGCGCTTAACGCGGCCTCACTTTGCGGGCTGCCGCCGCGTATGGCATTATAGGTCAGCAGATTGGGATGGGATGCGGTCATTCTTTGCGTCCTACCCATGGGGGCAGATTTGCTTCTCGCCGGATGATCCAGACGTCGTTGCTGACTCAGTGACTGATGTGGTGCTTCAAGGTATGGAACTCTTTATTCCGTTCTCTGCAGTGCCCATTGGTGGCAAGTCGCAGCCTTGGTTTGGTCGCTCCTGTAAGTTGGCATTACGCCGAAAGCGGGAATGCTACCAGGCTTGGGCTGACGCTTCGTCGTCTAGTGATGTAAAAACCAGCGCTTTAAAAAAGACGTATAACTCTGCCTCTAGGTCCTTCAAAAGTGTTATTGCTAAGGCGAAATCGGAACACATTGGCAGAATTGGCGAGAGATTGGCGCGTCTCCCAACGGGAACACGTGCGTTTTGGTCTCTCGCCAAAGCTGTCTTGGGAAATTTCTGTAAGCCTTCTTTTCCACCCCTGCACACGGAGGATGACTCGCTGGCCCATGCCGCGAAGGAGAAAGCCGATCTTCTGGGCTCTCTCTTCGCGTCCAACTCGACTTTGGATGACCGAGGAAAATTACCACCAACAATCCCGCGTTGCGATGCTACGATGCCGGAGGTTCAATTTCGGCAAAGTGCAGTTCGCAGAGCACTCTTTTCCTTGGACATTCATAAGTCGAGTGGGCCCGATGGCATCCCTCCGATCGTGTTGAAGACTTGTGCTCCAGAGTTGGCACCGGTTTTGACGCGTCTTTTCCGGCTCTCCTATACTCTAGGCGTATTCCCGAAAACCTGGAAGGCCGCTTTAGTGCACCCGATCCCTAAGAAAGGCAACAGCTCGGATCCGTCCAACTACAGGCCTATAGCCATCACCTCCTTGCTCTCCAAGATAATGGAGACCATCATTAACTGCCAGCTCCTGCGGTACCTAGAGGAGCACCAGCTGATTTGCGACCGCCAGTACGGCTTTCGTCGAGGTCGCTCAGCCGGTGATCTTCTGGTTTACCTGACACACAGATGGGCAGAAGCAGTTGAGAGCAAGGGGGAGGCGCTTGCAGCCAGTCTGGACGTAGCGAAAGCCTTTGATCGGGTGTGGCACAAAGCACTTCTTTCGAAGCTGCCTTCCTATGGGCTTCCCGGGAAGTTATGCAACTGGATCACTAGCTTTTTGACAGATCGGAGCATCAAAGTCGACGTCGAGTCGTCGACGGTGCATGCTCTGATCCTAAATTTGTCAATGCTGGTGTTCCACAAGGCTGCGTACTGTCCCCCACTTTGTTTCTTCTGCATATCAATGATATGTTGCAAATCAGCAGCGTTCATTGCTATGCGGATGATAGCACTGTGGATGTTTCGTACACAGGCCGTGCTAACATTTCTCGGGAAAACGTCTACGAGAGCCGGAACAAACTTGTGTCTGAAGTCGAAACTTTGTTAACAAAAGTCTCAGACTGGGGTCGACTAAATTTAGTCCAATTCAACCCCGATAAGACACAAGTTTGCGCGTTAACCGCTAAAAAGTCCCCATTTGTCGTGACTCCTCATTTTGAGAACACTCCCCTGTCTGTCACAGCTAGTATCGGAATACTTGGCGTCGAAATCTCGAGCAATGTCCAGTTCCGCGGTCAATTGGAAAGTAAGGCCAAATTGGCCTCAAAGAAGCTCGGTGTGCTCAGCAAGGCGAGACAGTACTTCACGTCGGCTCAACGCCTAAACCTTTATAAGGCGCAAATTCGGCCCCACATGGAGTACTGCTCTCACCTCTGGGCGGGAGCCCCTGTTACCAGCTTCTTCCATTTGACCGCATCCAACGTAGGGCAGCTAGGGTTATCGACGATCAAGGTCTTTCCGATCAGCTTGATCCTTTGGCTATGCGTAGAGATGTTGGGTCACTCTGCATCTTCTACCGCATCTATCACGGGGAGTGTTCCGAGGAATTGTTTGGATTGATCCCAGCGGCTGAATTTCACCATCGGACATCGCGCCAAAACCAAAAATTTCATCCACACCACCTCGATGTCCAGCGTTCCACAACAGCGCGATTTTCAAGGCATTTCCTGCCTCGCACAACCACTCTGTGGAACCAGCTGCCGCCGGCGGTCTTTCCGAACCGTTACGACCTGGGAACCTTCAAGAAGAGAGCGTACTCATTCCTAAAAGGCCGGCAACGCATTTGTAAGCCCTCGGGTGTTGCAGATGTCCATGGGCGGCGGTGATCACTTACCATCAGGTGAGCCTCCTGCTCGTTTGCTGCTTTTTTCCCATAAAAAAAAAAAAAAAAAAAAAAAAAAGATATTTGTAAATATTAATTTAGTTCATTATAATTAACTCGAACGCGATGACCAAAACACTGTGCCACCGCGGCCTTGTGTCGGTTCTCTTCCAATTCCACACGTTGAACAGAGAGCGCTGAGGACCGTTGCTAGATGGACCTATGCCGCTCGTTTGTCGTATGTCCGCTCACCGTTACCAAATATGTTCCGTACTTATTAATTATTGAGAGTTATAATTTTATTAGATCTTTCGAAAACACGAAACTAAAAAATATATATTCACATATTTAGGGATTTGATTGGGTTCAAATCCCTACATTTCTCCATTAAATTTTTTGTTGATTATTTTATTTTTATAAATAATTACAACGAAATATTATTGTATTTGTTGAACGTAGAACGCAACAGTTGGAGAAGAATCTATCAGATAATAAACCAACTT